GGCCATAACTAAAGTGAATTCGAAATGGGTATTTAGTGGTATTGAAAAGGGTAGTAATAATGTTTGTTTAAGGTTGTGCGAGATAGAAATAAAGATGTTTTATTAAGTTATTTATTTTACTGGTACCTTGCTGTGATAAGTATGATTTTAAAGATCCTGAAACAGAAAGAAGAAAAGTTATCAGACACGTAATCAAGATTCTGAAGAAGATTAGGTAAGTTAGTATTTTAATTTTTGAGGATATTATTTTTATGCATTGTTCTAAATGTAAGGTGGAAAGGAATTTGGTATTATTGGGAAATTGTTATTAGCAATGTTTTAGTTTAAAGTAATTAGGATTGTAGGTAATTTTTTTATTAATTTAATGTATGTGCTCATTTATATTTTAAGTAGTGTTTTTGAATTTAATTATATTTTAATGAAATGATAGTTATTTTGTGAATTTTTCTGTTGTAGGAATTTGGTATACGTTTTAGTTGAAGTAAACGTGCATGGAAATAATTTAAATATCTGACACTAAGTATTTGTAATGGTTGCGGTATGAATTCGTGACGTTTATAATATAAGATGATTAGAGGTAAAAGTTTTTTGGATATTTTATTTATTTTATATGTGGAAATGTTCATATTTGGAAAGGTAAATACTTTTTCGCGATCAGGTATTTCATATATGTTCTTTTTACCGGGTTTAAAATTGAGAAAATTGTCATGTATTTTCGTGAAATTTTCTAAATTTTGAGAAAAAAGCAGTGTACATGGATTAGTGAAGAGTGTGGCGCAATGCCATTTTTGTGCATTCTGGGATGTTTTTTTAAGTAAAAATAAGTCGACGTGTACATGGTTTAGTGATATTTTAATTAAATGATAGTTATTTTGTGAATTTTATGATTGCAGGAATTTAGGCTAATCTTTGGAATATGGTAACAGTAGTTTGGCCACATTTTGGTAAAACGATAAAGTTTACTAGCTAGGACTTTAGCAGTGTACATGGATATAGTCAAGAGTGTGCGCAATGCCATTTTTGTGCAATCCTGGGATTTTTTTTAAGTGAAAATAGGTCGACGAGTACATGGATGATACCGTGTATGTGCAATTCGTAAAAATGCGCCAAGCAGTGGCCGATTCTGCACTTTGTCCCAATTTCGCACCTAGTCTTCATCATGATTAAGCACTTTTGTTCCATAAAATTTCTAGCATAAGCGTAATTCAGCTAGCAGATTGCTGGAAAAAAATGTTGAGTAAAAAAAAAACATGCCTTTACTTTGTGAAAACAAAATGGCATCCAAACAAAAACTAGCAGGTTGCTGTAGCAGGGTTGGTCGCCCAATTTTCACCAAAAAATCGCCAAGTTACCATAATCCAAAGATTAACCAAAAATCCCAGAATTGCACAAACTTGCATTGCGCACTCCATTTACTTTGTCCACGTACACATCGATATATTTTCACTTAAAAAGTCATAGGAGCACCAAATTCTACGATATAAGCAAACAAAAAATGCATAATCTCAATAAAGTACATTTCAAACTAAACAATAAAATAACATAAAAAAGGAAAAACATGTTATACATTTAAGCACTACCAAAAGCAAATATTCACTTACCATGATTTTCGAGTTCGCTTCGTACACCCAGAGCCACGTAACAATCAAAATATCAATCATACTCAAATGACTTTTTTCAAACCAGGTACTCTTTCTGATTGAATGCTTCGCATAATTACCATCTGAACCTTTCTTCCTACAAACCCATTCAAATCCATGTAAACGGTTTTTACGTTCGACTTACACGCATATCCTTCCTACATGCAAGACACTTATAATGGCTACTAAGGAAACCTTCATTTACACACCAGTCAATTAAAGCTCTTTTCCCCCTTTCGCTCCAAATCATACAGAAACTTCAAATTAATCTTACTACATTCGGCCATTTTACTGTCTAAAGAATCAATCCAACACACACCACAAAAACGCTTACAAAACATCCCATGATTCAAAATTTCCCAGAATCATGCACCCGATTACGTCACAATAGGGTTTCCATAACATTCAACGGTACAACTCTGATATACGCCCTAATTTCACCAAATTTCAACCATTTTTGGCGCGATTGCGTGTTGTATGGCAACCCTGTTGACGTTGAAAAGTCTTTCGCTGGAGTTCGTTGGTTCCCGTCATGCCTTGTGTCTGAGAAGCTAGGGGGGAAAGATTTAATGGTGAAAGTTGTTGAATTGAAGTTCGGCATAAGGAAATATCGTCGTGGACATCCTGTTGAGGGGCAATGGGTATTTGGAGGTGTGGAAAAAAGGTATGGGAGATTATTTTTAGTGGTTGTGCGTGATAGAAGTAGGGATTTGTGATTATTTGTTATTTTTTTTATTTGTGAACCATAGTATGAATTTTCTCGATAGTGTGTCTGGCTGTCATATAAATACTAATTTACGTGGCGGCATGTTAAAGGCGGTATGAAACTGATATTTCTGCTCTTCGAAAAAGCATTAATTTATGGTAAGTGCATTTTACTTTATTCTTGTTCTTATTTTGTAGAATATAATGTTCATTCTTTTTTCTAGTATGAATTTCTGCCGTTATTGTTGTTTTTTTTGAATTGTTTGAAATTTATTTTAGTTTATTTTGTTGATTAGTGCGTACCATCTGAATTGGCAATTCGTAGATGTTTTTAAAGTTGAAACAGAACGCTGTGTACATGGTCTTTCTTTGAAATTTTATTGTGTTATGTTAATTTATTAAGTGAGGTGCGCGTAGTTCGTAAATTCGTTTGTTGCCTAATTGTGCAATTCGTAGATGTTTTTTAGTTGAAACAGGATGCTGTGTACGTGGTATTCTTTGAATTTATTGTTATGTTAATTATTAAAGCGAGGTGTGCGTAGTTCGTAAATTCGTTCGTTTGCCTAGATTGTGCCATTCGTAGATGTTTTTTTTTTTAAATTAAAACATATCGCTGTGTACATAGACCTCTTGTAAAATAATTTTGGTTAGAAACTTCACGGTTTTGCTATCTAAATTTTTGTTTTTGTTTCGGATTTTTAGCTTAAATTGTGTGTTCAAAACGTGGTTTTTTGCATTCTTCGCGAAAACGTGTTTTTGGAGACATTTTAGGCTTAAAGTTCGAAATGTAGACAAAAAATTTAGATAGCAATATAGCAGCGTGGAGTTTCTCGCCAAAAGGCGCCTTGAGGGCGCATATCAGAGTAGTTCCCATTCAACTACTCAGGCTACCATAAATGAAACAACAACTTGGCGATAAATCAAACAACAATTTTGCCATAATACAAGGGGTACCTTAAAGTCTACTCTACCCGTTTGCGGGATTTGAACCTCGGCCCGAACTACCAGCGTTCAGCGACTTTACCGCTCAGCCGCTGGTGGGCCTATAAAGTCAAGAGAGTGTGCAATGTCATTTTTTTGCAAGTCTGGGATTTTTTTTATTGAAAATAGGTTTATGTGTACATGGATACTGAGTATGGGTAAAAGTATATTTTAGGGTACCCCTTGGCGAAACTTGCAGATTTTTGGAGGTACATGAATACCGAGTTTGTGCAATTCTTTGACTTGTTATTTTGGCTTGCAAAGCGGTGAATTTTTAGCCAAAAATCGCTATACAAAGCCAAAATAACAAGACGAAAAATTGCACAAACTCGGTATCCATGTACACATTGACCGATTTTCACTGAAAAAAAAATCCCTGAATTCCATAAAAATGGCATTGCGCACTCTCTTAACTTTATCCATGTACACATCCACCTATTTTCACTTAGAAAAACATCAGAGAATTGCGCAAATCCCTTGACTTTGTCCACGTACACATCGAACTATATTCACTTAAAAAGTCAAAGGAGCAGCCAACAAAAAAAAAAGTATATAATCTGAATAAATTGCATTTTAAATCAAACAATGAAATAACATAAAAAAGGAAATTTATCTTTGCACTACTCAAAGGAAATATCCACTTATCTTATTTACAAATTAACATACCTTCAGTCAAACAAAATTCCTTAACAGCATCCAAAAACTTTTTTAAATTCCCATTTTTTGCATGTTTACAGAATTAATTCGAATTCGCAACCATCTAATATGCAAACATGATTAATTAGCAATTTTTTAAAATGAGCAAAAATAACCGATTTGGCATTTTTTTGAAAATGCGCCAAACTGGAACATAAATCCAGTTTTACCGGAATCTGTGTTATATTCCTTAAAGTGCTAAAAAATATATTGTTGGATATATAGGCTTAGAAGGCCTCGGAATCGTTTTGCCACATTTCTACTTGCCTTAAATTCTGCTGCCCACAGTCACCCTTAAATACTAAAAATTATGTCGCTCCTAAATTCTGTACCACAGCGTGAGTGCACCAGTTACACCAGCACTTGGCTTGATGGACCGAAAGATTAAACAATCGGTACTGTTCTATTATCAGGACTGGATACACACGTGCATACATTCACACATTTCTGAACCTGATCCCAAAAACAGAACAGTGCCATTCATTTAGTACCTACAAATAATGATGCATGAATCAAAACACATTTTCCCTTGCACAAATTTTTCTTATTTTATTTAAAATCTTGAATAATCAGACAATCCTTAACATAAAATTTATGTAACATTAAGTTATGAACACAAACATAAAATTTATGTAACATTATGTTAAGAACACTGAATTCTAACTGATAGCAAAGTACGAAAATAACTTTAGAATTAGAAATGATACAAATAAGACATGTATTTTTAAAAACTGCTGAACAGCAAAAACTTCACTAGGGAGATGTAACAGAATTTATTTTACACCATGTGGGTCCTCATTTTCAAATATTTTTAGTAAACAATAACAGTGCAAGGAAGCATTTATAATAACTGACAGTTTAAATCGCTTTTAGCGATGACATCTCTAAAGTAGTCATGAAGTTTAAACGAATTGAAAATTCATGATGAAAATTAAATCGGCTTTTAAAGGATTAAATAATGAAAAACTTTCTACTTACGATGTTTTACGACTGTCTTCCAGTTTTATTCTTCAGTTTCCGATAGCAAAATAATATGGGCATTATTAATGTAGCACTCGTTTGAAAAATTATTACAAAACTACTCTGCACACTATATTAAGCATAGTTTAAGCCTATGCAGGTGGATGACTGCAAACTTTCAAACATATTAACGTATTTCATTACTATAAAACAAAGATAATATCAATAATCACTTAGAACACAGAAGTTCATACTAACCAAAAAAGCAATAAAATATAACATTATGAGAAAAATATCAACTCCTTGTCATCGTAACTCTAAAATACCACTCCTATAACCAAGACTCTTAACACACAAAGTATAATATTGATATTATGGTTACAGAGGTAACGTGCATGTTTTCCTACTAAATTCGTTAAGGAAAATCTCCCCAAATAATCACTCTGATATTCCGAAATAACCGTTCTAAAAACAAGAACATCTGATAAAAATTTGATATCTATGCATATTACTTTGTAACGAGGTAAGGAAAGGAAAAGCTACGCTTTCAAACAAATGCTAAATATTGGGTGAGCCTCACATTAACGCCACTCAAAATTTTTGGAAGTCTAGTACTCCTAAACTCGTCTTGCATAGGTATATGACAAGGAAGAAGGGTCAGCGCTAAATCCGAGACGATTACATCCTTATGTAGGGATTTGTTTACTGATTTCGAGACTTAAGTGCTTTTGATACGGAAAAATTTTTCTTTCAGCGATAAGTTTATTTGTTGTTATTTTCTACGGGTTTTTCCAATTATTTCGAATGTATTCTGTTTCCAGAAGAATCGTTAGGGATTATGCCTAACGAACTCAAGCGTAAAACAGATAGTGACATGGACAGTGGCAGCAATAAAGAGAGGAAAACAAATGGAAACTTTTATAGCGCGGACACAACCCCTATTGACAAGGTAAAAATAGCTTTTAAAAATGGCACAAAAGAGGTCAAAATTGTTCTGAAGGCAATTGAATCTGGTATCCCGATAGGTAAGTTGCTCAAAAAAGGTTCTATTTTAAACGAAATTACTAATAAAGAAGATAATATATACATCACGAGAGAGAAAAAAAATCATCATTTCCACGAAAAGAATCAAAACAATAGAAAACGTCTGTAAAGTAAAATCCTTGGAAGGTGTAGGAGTAAAGGCCTCTATAATTGAAGATACGTACACAACTAAACATATAGTTAAAAATGTTGATACACAACTTAGTTTAGAAGACATAGCAGCTGGCCTAGAAGAAAGTGAGATTAAATTTTCATGTATTATAAGATTTACTAAGCCAAGGTCGGACGAAAAGGTGCCAATAATTCTGATTAAGGAACTTGGTTCCTGTTATCGGTCTGATATCAAAATAGGTCGAATAAATTTTGCGGTAAGCAAATATATTGAAAATACCATAATATGCTACAAGTGCTGTAATATATAGGCCACAAGTCGAAACTCTGCAAAAGCAAAGCAAGATGTGCGAACTGTGGTAAAAATGACTGCAACGACCCATGTAAAAATAACACCAGTTGCTTTAGATGTGGAGGTGAGCATAATGCTCTAGACAAATCTTGCCCAAAAATAAATATCAAAAAAGGGGAAGCGAACGGACAGAAGCGTGAATCTTCATCGAAAAAAAACTTATCCAGAATTCCAGTTATTGTTCCTGGGCAGAAGTTGTCCAGAAAGAGGAAGAACAAAACTCTACTAACACCAATACAAATAAAAATACTAAAGGCGCGGTATCGGAGAAACCAGGGGAAAATGTTTTAAGTAAGATAGTCGCAAGATTAGAAAATCTCGAAAGGAAAATTGATTCTCTTTATGTAGATAATTTAAATCTTAAGGAAGTTAATAACAAACTTAAAACAGAAAATACAAAACTTAGAAGCCTGTATGAAAACTCCCTAAAACAAATCCAAAAATACAAGGAGGATCTTGAAAAGACCTGCCTTGCATATGAAAATCTTCAAACAGAACATCTAAATTTGAATACTATTCAGGAGGTTACTCCTCTGATATCTTGGAATAATGGGCCAGACACGCTTCAAGAAGAGGAAATTCCTCAAATTGATGATGATACTTTCTAATTTCATGTGTTTTATCTTAAGTTGGAATTGTCGAAGCTTCGAGGCGAACTTGAGTTTCTTGTCTTCTTTTGTTTCTTGGTTAAAACCTTCAGTTGTGTGTCTCCAGGAGACCTGGAGTCGGAACCCTAGGGTTCCTTTCCTTTCTGGATACAACAGTTTTTTAAAAGAAAGAATTTTTCCTAGTAAAGGCGGTGGCCTTGCCATTTTTGTGTTAAAAAAATCTACCTGTTTCCAAACTTCCAGATACTGGAATTAAATCTGACATGGAAGTTCTAAGTATCAAAGTGCATGCTTACGGTAAAACATTTACTATAGTAAATTGCTATAGGCCTTCCGGAAGATTTAAACCAGAAGACTCAATGGTCTTGGATTCCTTTAAGGATCCTTTCACACGATTTTGGTTGGCGATTTCAACGCTCGCCATAGAAATTTTGGAGATAGTATTACATCGCCCAGCGGTCAAAAGTTCATGAATTGGCTAATTGACTCTAATATGATCATTCTAAATAATAAGAAACCTACTCATATTTGTCGTGGCCAAGAAGGAGGAATCCTCGACCTTTGTATGGCAAATGTCAATATCGCGTCCAAGCTGTGTCGTTCCAGAGACTTGATGATACGGGTCAAAGTGATCATTTCCCTGTGTATCTTAATTTTAATCATAGTTTTAAGAAGAGACCTGGAAAAATTAAAAGCTATACAAATTGGCGAGATGTCAGTATATCTCTTTCACGTTTGCCTGTGAGCCACGCTGTAATATGGAGGATAAAGTTAATGCTTATACCTCTGTAATTAACAGTGCTATCAAGACACACTCCAGAGAAATCACCTACAAGGTCGAGCCAAAAAACCCATGGTTCAGTTTGGAGTGCGCCAAATTCAAACATCTTAGAGATCACTTTAGACTGGGTGGAGTATAGGGTAAAAAACAAAACTAAAAAAAATACTAAGTTTCCTATGAAGCTTCTTGCAAGCAAGTCTCCCTTGGAAGTTAATTTTCGTGATCACTCACTCACTCCAAACGCAGATGTATTAGACAAGGCTGCTCAGGCGGATATTTTCGTGGAATATTACAGCGCCAATGACAATACTAACCAGCCGGTTCCTATCGACCTTCCTTTGGCTAAATATTGAGCCAATTTCCGCCAAAGAATTAATGTAACGCACTAAGGAGTAAGAAAAACTCCTCCCCGGGTCCCGATGGAATTACTTACAAAAGTCTGAGGGTCGCTGCCAAATATACGCAGAAAGCCCTTCTTGAGATGTATAATGAAAGTTTGCAATCAAGTAATATTCCTACAATCTGGAAAACATCCTGGGTTGTTCCGATTTTAAAACCGAATAAAAACGGGAAACAGATTGCAAATTACAGGCCAATTTCTTTAACGTCTGTGATTGGGAAAACCCTTGAAAAAATAATCCTGCGCCGCTTAGAGTGGTGGGCTGACACAGAAAAAATTTTTCCTTCAAATATTTATGGCTTTAGAAAAGACATTTGCGTAACTGACTGTCTTAGAGACATTTATGATTCTGTCTGGTCAGCCAGAAACAAAAATCTGGAAAATTACTTAATTTGCTTAGATATCAAAGAAGCTTACGATAACGTGCAACATGAGATTTTGATTGAAAGGCTAGAAAAGGTGGGCATGAACACTACCCTGGTGCGTTGGATCTACAATTTTATTACTAATCGTACTATTGCTGTAAAGTGGAGATCTATCCTATCAACAGATAAGCTCATGTCTAAGGGCCTTCCACAAGGAGCCATTTTATCGCCTTTCCTCTACAATTGTTTTATGTTTGATCTTTGTAAACTGAATGATAGGAGCACCAAGCTTTTCATTTACGCTGATGATATCTACGTGCATGTTACCGTTAGGAAGGACAACCGGTATTCCTGCTTACAAGACACTCTCAAAAAGATCATTAGCTGGTCTGCTGAAAATAAGGTTGCTTTCTCCTTTGAGAAATCAACACTAATTGACTTTTCAAGAGGAAGAAAGAAATACTCTTCCCCCATCTAGGTACTCATTGGATGGAAAAAAGAGCATAAAATACTTGGCGTTATTTTCGAACACAACCTCAGTTGGCGTGCACACGAAGCTTATCTAGTTAAAAGATTAAATAACACTTTAAACTTGATCAAAATCCTCTCCCACCCAACTCAAGGAATGAGAACAAAAAACTTACTAAAGATCATCCAGCAAATCATGATTCCCCAACTCATATACGGATGTGAAATCAGATGGGGAGAATATATCTCCTCCCAAAATAAGTACGATATTTACATCAATAAAGCGATTAGAAAAGCCTTAGGGGTAAGTCATTTGGCTCCCAACGACGTTATTAGGAGAATTGCAGCAATTCCGCATTACAATAAGATAAAAAAATGGCAAAGAATATTATCTATCATAAATAAAAATTTCAGGGAGCCGATTATTTTTTTCCCGCCACTAGAGGCGGAAGGTTTAAGAAAGAAAGAAAGGATTTAAGAGCTGATCTTGACAGCTATGAATCTAAATGGATTTTAGATAAGAACGTTGTCCGTCAAAAGAAACGGATTCCGCCTTGGATAAACTTTAGGAAATTTGTGTAACATCGATTTAAAGAATCTTCCACGATTTTGTCACTGATTACGCTCCTTTTATTAAAAATTTGACTGCAGGATGTTAAAGCAGAAAACGTATGGGGCTCAGACGGTTTCCAAAAATTTGGACGGAACTGGTTTTGGAATAACCAATCTAAAAATACCGTTAACAGAGCCATCAAGATTGTAAGAAATGCTTCTATATACACCGCGGAAGTTTCAGCAATTTGGTACATTTTGAAATATCTAGCTAACCTTTCCGAAGCGACGATAATTTTCACTGACAGTCTTGCGGCAGTAGAAGCTATTGCCTCCTTCGAAGATTCAAATAACAACATAATTGAGAATATTCGATATGAAATTTACAAAAACATGCCAAATAGTAAGATAATAATTTGTTGGATACCCGGTCACAAAGGCATTGAGATCAACGAAAGGGCAGATTTTTTGGCTAAACAGGCGGTAAATTCACGCAATACTCCAATCCTCCCAATATATACATGGCAGGATATCAAAAAAGAAATTAGGGAAGACAGGGAGAGGGAAATTGAGACCACCTGGCAGAACACGAAGTATTATTGTTATTTAAAAATGTTTTAAATACCAAACACTTGAATATTAATTGGCCCGACTCAAGGAAAATGGAAAGTAAAATCAACAAAATCCTCACTCGAAGTATCCTCACGAACTACCTTAAATTCAAGTTAAAACTCTCAAGTACTCCTTTATGCATAAATTGCAAAGTACGAGATGATTTTGAACACAGACTGAATGAGTGTAAAAATACATTCATCTAAGGAACTATATCGCCAAATTCTGCGATAAAGAAAACATTCAATACATCCTTCCTGCAGAATTAGTTAACAATTTCAATCTAAGAATTCCGAA